TAACAAAGTGAAAGCACTTAGTTATATAATCAGCTGATGAAGAGCAAGATATCTTGTTCATGAATAGTCAGGTGGAGAAGTACTAGTAGAAGAGCAGTTTCTACTCTGATGATTGGTCAAGATGCAAACCACTTAATCATTATGGCTGGGATTAAGCAGATAGGAGGGTCAGTTGAATGAGAAGTCAATGACTGAAAAGAAGTGATGTTCCTTGATTTCTGAATATCAAGTTATTTCTTGTGTTAAGATATTGTCAGGATGTCATAGAATAAACACTTGATTATTGTATAGTTTTTGACAGTTGGTTGAAAAATTTAAGAGCTGAAAGGACTTGTAACCCTTACTTTGTAGGCTGTTGAGTGACTTTTGATATTTAGATGTTGGTGAGATGCCTTGCAATAATTGCTCAATCCATCCAGGCTGAGTTGTAGCAGAATTTCTGCAAAACAAACCATGCAAAACTTGCTATATTGATATACAGGACAGATTAGGTTACAAGATAAGATTCTAGGGAAATTTATTATTGCTCATGATTGTCAGAACTTTGAAAAACCAATATTCTAGACAGACATTTCAATTTTTGGTTTCTGAGAACTCAGGTTAATTTTTGCACTGAGTATAAGTGGGCATTTACTTTTATAAGGGAATGTACTAAATAAAATTTTAATGAGTGCTGTAATTTTAGAATGGCATAGAATACATGACATAGTGCACCGTTAATACCAGTGGGATAGATACCATTATTTGTATAACGTTTTTGGACAGTACACCATTAAAGCTTTAAAATCCAGAATAGACAAATGTTTGCTTCTGTTACCTAATACAACTTTACAATGAATGTGGGCTAAGTGAAAAACTAGAAAGACAAGTTATAAAATTGGGGCAAAAAATTAAAACAGTGAGATAATTAATGAATGAATACAAATACAGTATTGCATTACTTAGGCCTACAACAATTGTAATGAAGCATGTCATTTTTCCTTCACTTCCATTGCGTAGATTTCTTTTTTTAATTTTATTCAATATCACAAATATTATTTTTTTCATTTGCAAAAAAAAACCATCTATCCATTTTTGTCATCTACCTCACTCTTTTTAATATTAGAATGAAACATATTGTTCACAAGTGCATGGAAGGATATGATAAGAGGTACTCTACTTTTCATGATGTTTATGAATGAAAAACTTACTTAAGTGTGTGTGTGCTGATGCATTACATACTTCATAATTTGGCAAATTTATTGTATTATTCTCTAGAAAAATATACACATTTCTAGATTTTGGCAAATATATTTAGCTAACAAGGAATGACTTAGAGGATGGAACACAGTTGTAGCTGAATTACATCAGTGTTTCGACCTGTTACAAAAACAACTTATCTATTAAATTGAGTTCAAAGCTTGAAAGAGAGGAACCCTTGAGAACTTTGCCACTGTTGAGGATGATCTACAATGCCTGTAGAGAAAGGCATATTCCACCATGGCAGCTGCACATTGTAAAGATGTTATTGTAAATAAGTTCATAAAGATTATTCCTAGTGAAGCAACACAGTACCACTGGCATGTTAGACATCTACATTTAAACAAAGGCTGTTTTTGTGATGATTAAATCTGTAGTGGTAACTTTGAGCCACTTGATGGAGAGATCAAAGCCCACATCAGTAGCTTCAATGGCACTGTCTTACTCAGAACAATTTCTTAAGATGTTCACACCTTGTTGAAAGCATCTTTTTCTCTTTAGTATCACAAGTAGTGTAGTTTATTAGGTGAAGCTTTTGAAGCAAATTTATAAACCTTGGGAACTCTAGTTTAAATATCTGATTAGAGAGTGAAAAAATGTAAATTAACAAAATTGGTCAAAAATATTTTCTGCACGTAACTTTGTAGATTCTTAATGTTTTGGGAATGTATCGATATTTGTTTGTTACTGTATAAAACTAATTGTCAGCTGAATATTAGACTGACATACAAACTTAAAATATTTTTTTATTCCATTTTTAAACATTAAAATATTTGCATTAATAAGCTATTAATATATATTTTTTCAGACAGACCTCTTGCGTGTTGACTGGTTAGCAGAACTAGCAGATAATTTTGTGGATAGCATCAAAAATGGAGAAAACTTAAATGGAAGGTAACACCTGCATAATAAATAATTGTTAATTAGTATCAATTCATTTTTGCTTATACTTATGCTACAGTGAAGCATTAATTTCACCTTGGTAAGAATAAGTAATTTCTCATGTTGAAATTGTATCAGCATGTTAAATTAGCTAAATGAATAGTGAATGGATTTAGAGTTTGTTAGCTTTGTCAATTCTTTGTTAATAGAGATTTCTAGTTTTTTTATATGATAAGCTATTGTTACAGGTTATAAAGTATGTTGAAGAACGTGAAAAAAAAAAGGGTATCTTTTATATTGGGAGAATTAGAATGATGATGTTCTAAGTATTGTTGGATAGCACCTGATATTTCATATGTTAAGATTTGTTTGGACATGATTAACTTGCCTGTTGAGATCTAGTTGAAATGGTGGCCTTGTAGAAAATTGTTTCTGAAAATGTAAGAAATTTTAAAGTCTACAATTAAGAATTTTTCAAAAAGGTTTTTACCTGTGCAAAAAAAATACATAAGCAAAGATTAAGAGTATGTCCTAAGTATGTTGTTAGTCAAAAAGCAATATTGTAAATGAAATTGTGAGATTAATATTAAATGTAATTATAACCAAATCAAGAATTATTTTAAATTTTAACAAATTTGGTTACTTTGCAAATTTTTTTTTTTATATACGAGCTTATCCATTGGAAATGAGATTTTATACGTTGCTAAACATAATAGCCAAACATTGTAATGTTAGTAACCTATACAATCACCTACATCTAATTATTAACTAATAGCTTTTTTTAAACATTTAGGTAGTAATTACTAATTAGTTACCAATTAATAATTAAGTAATAATATAGGCTACTTAACAGGACAGTAATTGATATTTGATTACCACAACCTTATCTTTAATACTTAATAGCCAGAATTGGAGAAAACAGGATTTAAGTGATGTTATGTTCATGAGATTTATGCTTTTTAACTTTAAAATATGGTGAAAATAGTTTTGTTCTCTCAATTATTTTCTGATATGATACTATTTGCAGGTGGCTTGAACTTGTTCCTAAGGTATTGGCAACTATAGCATCACGAGAAGTAGCTGCTTTTGAAGGAAATGAGATGTCAGGAGCCCAGTATAAAAGTGACATAGTTAATTCTTTGTGCTCATACAAGTAAGGTTTAGATTATGATTTATGTCAATATTGTTTTTTTTTTAATGAGAATCTGCAGCTGTCTTGATGCTTACTGTCTCTATCATCTGAGCTACTCTAAAAGAGGTTAAAATATATCAGGTGTGAAGAACTGTAAACACTTCATACATAGGTGTGTATGTTATGAATGTTGTAAGCAGATGCATTTTAGAACAAAACTTTTACATGAATAGAAACATGGAAGAAGGTGTATATGACTATGAATGTTGGTAGGTGTGTGTCACTATAAACACATTGTCAGCAAGTGTTTTTGACGAAAAACACATCATGACAGGTATATTTAAGTAACACATTTTCAGCAAGTATATATCTAATGAACATCAGTATTAGCTATATATATATAACTATGCATAGAACATCAGAAAGTGATTGTGACTTGGAATATAATTTCAGAAGGTGTGTGTATGAATAGAAATACATTGTCAGGCATACACATGTATAATTATAATGTGGCACTGTTTATGTAAGTTTACCAGTAATTTAAGAAATGATAATGTCTTGAATGGTAATTGTTGGTGTTTTTGTAACCATAGGAAGACTATTGCTGTAATGTCAATTTAAAAAAAAATTGTTATCAGGAGAGTACTTGTTAAAAATATTTAAAGTTTTACTATTTAATCCCTTCCAGCCAAGAGGCAGTATATTGCTATCTCTACACTTAAATTGATAAAAATTAATTACTCATAAATATTACCATATCTGAAACACATGTACGTTTGAAACAAGCATGTTAACCAGTGAACGTTTTTCAACCTAATTTTTTTTGTTTGTAAATTCCGTGATGTATAATAAAGTGAAATCCACACATGATGTAGTTATATACTGTCATTATGCAATGTGCCTACAACAATTGACCTAAAGAACCAAGTTTCATACATAGTTGTCTTGCAGATTATGTGACTCAACTTTCATTGATATTTCTTTCTTTTTTTTCTCATGTATCTTATTCATTTCACAAAATATGTAATTGCCCCTTAAAGAAAGTTTCTAGATAATTTATTTTAATATTTTTTCCACTTTCATGTTGTTTGTTATATATCTGTCTCATTCCAAAAAAAATACACATTTTTGAATTGGAACATGGACAACTACAGGCCTAATAATGCCATGAACTAACCTTCTATGTTGAAAAACGAAATTTTCAAAGAAATGTTTTGTTACAACTAATATAAATAAATAGTATTTATTCTGCTATATCATATTTATAAAACTTACCTCTGTACTCCTTCCTCTCTAAGTGGATTCCTGTACATTGTGAGGAGACCAGGAATGACAGGTTATGTGTTGGACGAGTTCATGGAGGTGTGGCACTTCTGGTTGACCAGCATGTACTCACCTTCTCTGTGTCACTCAATACACCCTTGGAGGCTGTAGCCATCCATATCTCTGTGGGTCATACCATAACTGTTTGTTCTTTCTACCCATCTCCAGAAGACACTTAAGATCAATCAGACCTTTATGCTTTCATAGAATAGTTGCTATCTTACATTTTTATCGTGGAGACTTTAATGGACACAATCAACTTTGGGGTAGTGCTGATACTGATGGGGGGGGGGGGGGGGGGG